TATAAAATGGGTTACAAGCTCTGCAGACCAAGACCACTGTTCTGGGGCCTGTTGATAAGCATGATAGCAGGAATTTGGAGAACGAAGATAAAATTCGTGCTTCCTCAAAAGCTACAGAAAATTTTAACAAGAAATTGCAATTGGTTAACTAATTTGTGGAGAAGCATAGAGACGCCTGCTTGTGAGATGATTGTTGCTTTGATCACCCAAGAACAAGCATGCAGGGATGATATTCTCACCATGCAAGCTGTTGCTAATCATCTCATGCACTAACAGATTTACATTCTCTCAATGTAGTAGACTTGGCATGCAACCTAGCCATGAATGCTGGATTGGCTCTAAGTCGCTCCTTGACATACGAAGTACGAGCTTCCTCCACCAGTTTGTCAGCTTTTGCAGCTTCCTCGATGAGGGAAAGGAGAGTTCTTAGACAATCTTTTCTGTTCTCCTCCCGATGTTCAAACCTGAAAATGGAAAAGGTACTGAAATATATCACAATTTCCACCAAACATAAAGCACAGTAAAAATACTCTGGAGAAAATTGAGCAGAACGTGGCAAAATCAGGTCTTAAAGCATTTCAATTATAAAATGTATCTTCCGTCTCCAAAGATGAAATATTTTCAGTTTGAAATTGAAGAGGAGGTAAATGAATCTTAATTTTTCCATACAAGAAAGAAAAATAGTGTCCTTAAATGGTGGAAGGCAAACAAATCGATTAGTAGAATAGGGTACATGTCATGAAGCAAACCTAAGGAAGATTTAAAAGCTTACTAACCAAAGTTCTGAAGAATTGGACTACAGGAATAAAATAATAAATTCTATTCTATCAGAACAAGCAAAAGCATTGCTTCTTGATGAGTCAAGGAAGAAAATCTAAGGCCCCAAAGAGGATTTGCAAGATTTACCCCTTTCTAATCGTGCTTGTGCATTGTTGCAGTACAAGTGATATGAAAATTTTAAATTTCATTCTTTCAAAGTCATTGCTGGGTTTCAGAAATTAGCAAGGCCAACATAAAGACTCATAACATTAAACATTGGAAGTGAAGTCAATTATCTGGGCAAAAAGATAAACTTCCCTTTACCTCTCACTAGTAATTGTAAGCTCATCATTCCCTGGATTGTATCTTTTCCCAGCAAGCTCTCTTAGCCGGCGGAATTGGTGTTTTGAAAGCCCGAGCTCTTTCACAGTAACAGACATTTTCACTTTCCTGTTTTTAGGATGCCATGCATCACCACCAGGAGTAAAGACTACCCTTGTTTGCCATCTAAGGATTGGCCCTTCTCCTGGTGGGTCATCCAAATCCTTTTTATTGTCTGGCACATCAGTCTGATCAAATTCTTGGGCCTCGGCTTCTGTCCTTTGTAAATATTCATTAACCAACTCATCCTCAAATTCCTTGAATCGCTCATAAGCTTCTTCAGGTTCAAGCTCTTGTCTTTCACACATATCACCTAGCTCTTCAAACTTCATTTCAACCTTTTTCTTTATGTCATCTGACAATGCAAACATGAATCATTATGTAATGCTCACATTCTTACGCCACACCAATTCAATAAAATGAAAAGTCAAATAAGAAAAACTAAGTTCAATGATTTTTGAAGTACAGAATATGAGAAAGTTCAATGTTTGCTAGAAGGAACAATGAAGGATAAATGTCTGAATTATAGGATAGATGCCCAAGATTAAGTTAAATACTTATCAATTCAAAGGGAGTAGCATTTGACAATTCATAAAATGTAAAATCATTATTATCAATTACCTAGGTTGTTCAACTGAATCATTATCATCAATGATTGCTAAATAATGCAATTAAAATACTGACGAACTCTGGTACATGCAAGGATTATAAAAAATTATTGTATGAGCAAAATAGTAATGCATGTCTATAGTTCAGCTATAGGCCATCATGAACCACTTTAAGGGTTAAAAGAAATAGAGGACTTTAAATAAAATCCCATGAGATGATATATAGGACTGGGGCACACCTGGGAGAAGCTTGTCCCAGCTAAGCATGTCCTCTAGAATCTCTTCACATTCCTTAGTGTCTTTAAGATGCCCATGCTGGACTGCCTCCTTAATCATATCGTCCCACTTCTTATCAGTCATGTTAAAGTACTCATCTTTGACCATTCTCTTAGTGACAATATCTCTTGCATTATACAAATTATCAATTTCTTCATCAGTCGAATACAACTCTTCAAAATCCGATTCAAATTCCTCGCTTTTAACATCATCCAGTGGTGTAAAGTGGAGTTGTTCCATCAATGCATCATCCGCCTCCTCATGCTTCTTTGTCAACCTTCTGCTTAAAATTGCCTCAAACACAGATGGGAGCACTGTTTCATCCCCTTTGAAGTAATTCTCTATTCGTGTTTTCAACTCTAGTACCAAAAAAGTAACAAATCAAATCAATGTAAAAACCGCAACCACATTTCATTCAAACAGCACAAAATCACTAAAAAAAATGGTAGACTTGGATTAAAATGATTCAAATCCTAGAAAATCCACAGCAATGAAGAATAATAAGTTTTCAATTTCCAAAAAAAAAAAATGCAAATCAGCGGCAGAAAATCAAACAAAATTTGTGTCTTTTGCAAATCTAATTCCTACCAACTTGTACCAATGAAAAACCAAATTCAATTATTTATTTATATTCATGTATTGAACAAAAATAAAAATATAAACTGATCCATTAAACAAGCATATTGCTAACATTTCCAACTTATATTCTCATTCCGAATCGTGTTCATTTTTTTACCTTCGCTACTCACATCCTCAACTTCCGCTGATTTGTCCTCGTTTTTGGCCTGCGCTAGCGTTGTTGATTCAGAAAACGGGTCATGGGTTTCATTAGTAGATTCAGGAACTGGGTCGGGGGTTCCATTAGGCGGTTCTGACTCGGACGAGAAGAACCTCAGTCGAGGTCGAATCGAAGCTGGTGATGGAGTGAGTGAGTGACTCGGAGCTCGGGTGAGCTTGGGAGGAGAGATAAGCAGATTCCGAGTATAAAGCGAGACACTTTTCCACAGAGCTCGCCTCATCATGGCTGCCAAATTAGGGTTTTAGGATTGGGGTTTCTGCTTATCAGTGTCGCTGCAAGGTTTAGCTTCGAGCATTGTTGGGTAAGTGTTCAGTTTAGTCCCTAACTTATCTTTTTATTGCCAATTAGATCCAATTATTTTTAAATTTTCAATAAAAAAAACTCATCCTTTTCATCTTTTTGTACCATCAAACTACAAATTGAACCGAAAATTACTAATTAGTTAAAACGCCAAAGGCAAAATCCCATTTTAAGAGTATGTTTGGTGTGGCTTGTGGGAGCTTTTGCTTTTTAATTATTGTTATATGTGATAAATTTAAATTTTTATTGGAGGGAAAAATAAAGTTTTAACTTTTAGAAAGCTGAAAAAGTGAGTGAAAGTAAGTAAAAAGAAAGTTTATAAAAAGTTTGGATTTGAAACTTTTGAACTTTTATTGTTTAAAAACTTTTTGAGGTTAAAAAAATATTTACAAGTGTAAGTTTTTAAGAAGGAAATTTAAATTCATGATACATGAATAGTGACCAGAAGCTGAAGCTCCTAGGAGCCACACCAAACAGGCCCTAAGACTTGTAACTGATTCTATTTTTTAAATTGAGCCCTTAAACCTTTTTTTGAATAGACAAATCTATACACGACGTTTTAAAAACCGGATCGGACCGGCCGGTTTAACCGGTCGGACCGGTACCCGGTATTAAAAATGGTTCGGCTCAATATTTAAAACCGGTAGAGCGGTTGAACCGGTCAAAACCAGTAAAACCGTTCAAACCGATACAAACCAGAAAACCGTTCAACCGGACGGTTTAAATCCTTTGGAGGATTTACCTTAAATTTGCTACCCCGGAGGCTTGAACACATGACTTCAAGAAGATTTTCTGTGACTTTTGCCACTAGGCCGTTACCTCTTTGATTGAAATGATTTGCTAACAATTTTATTTATGTTATTTTTGAAAGAAAAGAATTGATGATGCCATCCAATAGAATCGAACTTTCTTCCTTCCCTTGTATCAATTTTGATGTTAAAATTAATATAGTGTTACTTTAATTTTTATCTTAAATATATAAATTAAAAGTGTGA